AAGGTTTGGGTAGATGCAAAGTGAGCATGAGAAGCCTCGGCAATGAGGACTTCACGACCTCTTAAGGGAGATGAGATGTGCACCCAAGGGACAGTACAAATCAGTGTGTGGAATGGACCAGCAGGGGCAGCACATGAAGCAGTGAGGAAGCCTGGAGGAGGAAAGAGTCCCCAGGAAATCAAGGAAGGCCTCAAGGAGAAGGTGATATTGGTACTGGGTGTTGATGGATGGGTAGGATTTTTGACGGACTGAGTTACGGGAAGATGGCTTTTCAGTCAAAGGAAAAAAACCCAGAGGAAACAAAAGATTTGAGAGACAGAGACACTCAGAGTGGTTTGGGGGAGTGGCAAATCATGAAATGGAACTGAGCGTCCATCATCCATCAAAACAGAGAGAGATCAGATGGAAACTGGATATTGAGAAGAGAGGGTGTTTCTGTTTTGCATATGGTTATTTGGATTTTATTAGGAAGATAAAGAGAGTTGTAGGGTTTGGAATTGGAAAGCGGCATAATCAAAGCTGAACCTTTGGAGAAAATGGGGACTAAAGGGGGTGGCTCTGGGGGTGAAGAGACCAGCGAAGTGGCTGTTGTATAACTCAGCCTGGAGAGCAACTGTGAGGCTCTGGCAGGGCCTTGAGCACCCACTAGGTGTGGGAATGAAGGGAAGAAAGGAGAAAAGAATGACTGAAGTGCTGTGCTTGGGTGACAAGCATGGTGGAGGCACTGAGAGAAATGTGAGGGACAGAAAGAGGAGGGGCTTTAGGAAAAGGATGTATTTGGTTCAGAATTCACTGCATTTAATGTGCCAGGGGAATGAACTGGAGTATGGGTTTCTAAAACCACCTCCACTGCCTGCTTTTGAGATTTTTCAGCTGTTCACATAACAGGACGAGTTAGTAAGAAATATCGGACACTTCCGCAATACTGATGCTGCCATCTCCTTCTCTAATCCCTGAAAACAGAGGGCAACCTTATGTTTCTTGAAGCCCACGAAGAGTAATTCTATGGGATTGTCCCAATAAAAAGGGATGCAGGGAAGTCCCCCAAAGAGGAGGAGCAATGAAGAGGGGGCTGCTGAGGGTGGAACCTGGGGTTGGTGGCCCCTTCCTTGCAATATTCAAAAGGAATTGCTACTAGAAGCACCTAGGGAGGCGGCACCAGGTCCCCAGGCTCGTAAAGACCCCGACATCTCAAGCTTGACACCGGTGCTGGGCTGATAGCCAGGACAGAGCGTGCTGCTGTGTGGTTTGTGCAGAGAAGAGAGGGCCTGTGTGAGGCTCCGGGGCTGAGTGAAGGTTGGAAATCCTCTCGCTTGGAAGAGGGGTGTACTTTTCTTCCGACAAAAGCACGATCTACTCCTAAACTGTGTCCTGGAAGCTACCACTGCTGAGGGCCACCTTTTAAACATTGCACAAAGGGTCTGTAGAGGAAATAATGGCTTATCACAGAGCAGGAGCACACCCTGCCCCAGACCCCCAAAAGAGGAAAACGTGATTCCTCCTCTCCAACTCCCACACTTGAATTCTTGTGTGACCCACAAAGCCCAGGACTGATTTTCCTGGTACTCTGGCAAGTAGGAGTTCAGAGTCAAATTAATTTTATTTAGAGAGGAAGAAGTTTTAAAGTTTTAAAAGTACCTTAAAAATAAATTAATGTGCTATTTCTCCTGGCCAGTGTTGTAGAATAAAATCTGCCACTGTCTGTTTGGTATGTTGAGTTGCGTAAATTTCCCTCATAGCTGGGGGGCTGCAAACACCACCTAGAGTCACGATTCCTTCATCCAGGCCTGAGCAGAAGGTCTTTCTCCTGGTGTCCCCCTTGAACAAGGACTTTGCTGGGCCCTTCTCTGCTGTTGTCTCTAAGTGGAGTTGAAGGGGACTTCCCAGGACCCCCTGACAGGTGCAATGACCTGGATTCACTGCACTTGTCTGTTTAATTGAGTTATCCTGTGAGGGCTGGAGGCCGCTGCCCACGCTGCACACATATTCATCAAGATTTCACTGCTGCCCAGGGTGGCAGCAGGCCGCAGGGAAGCAAACGTCCCGCAGCAGAGAGCTTGACAGAGAGAGTGCCAGATGGTGGGGCTGAGAGCCAGGGCTGCACAGTGGCCCGAGAGAGCTCCAGAAAGCTCCCGCAGGTGGCTTGCTGGGGTCTGAGAGCTCGGAGACCACCCTGCTCCCTGGATGAACGATCAGATAAACAAGCCATTCCTTTGAGGCCGCCACCACTTAGCAAACTCCACATGTGGATAGGGACAGCACCAACCAATCTAAGGGGGATATCTGGAGATTGTTCTTAAAGCATAAGATAAAGTAAAAATAAAACTTTAATTTTCTTTTTTTCTTTTTTGGGGACGGAGTCTCACTCTGTCACCAGGCTGGAGTGTGCAGTGGCACGATCTCGGATCACTGCAACCTCCACCTCCCGGGTTCAAGCGATTCTCCTGTCCCAGCCTCCCGAATAGCTGGGACTACAGGTGCACGCCAACACACCCAGCTAATTTTTTTTTTTTTTGTAGAGACGGGGTTTCATCATGTTGCAGGATGGTCTCCATCTCTTGACATCGTGATCTGCCCGCCTTGGTCTCCCAAAGTGTTGGGATTACAGGCGTGAGCCACTGCACCCGGCCAAAACTTTTATTTTCTAATTGCATAAGTATGTAGCTCTATAGGAAATGTGGAAAATGTAGAAAACCAGACAGAAGAAAAATTAGAAGCCACTTGAAAGGAAAACACTATGGTACATGCATTTGCATCTATGTACTATTTTATCAGGTCTGGGATCAGGCCAAGGAGGCCAATTTTTCCCAGCCTAAATTCTAAAAGACATATTAATTATGAAAATTCTTAAATATTCATACAAATACAGAGAGTAATAGAGCAAACATTCAGATACTTGCCACTCAGGTTTCCATCTGCATGCTTTTTAAGTTTTTAAATTTTTTAGTTGGAAAAAATCCCAGTTTGCATTTCCTGGGGATAGGGATATTCTCTTATTAATATAGTACCTTAGTACAGTCGCAGCTTCTTAAATTTACATTGACACAATGTTTACTTTGCCATCCATATTCCAATGTTCATGACCTAATAAAGCCCTTGGCTTCAATCTAGGGTGAAGTACTGCATTCTGTTGTCATATCTCCTTTGTGTGCTATGGTTTGAATGTGTCCCCCAAAGTTCATGTGTTGGAAACTCAATCCCCAATGCAAAAGTGTTGGGAAGTGGAGCCTAAATGAGAAGTGATCAGGCCCTAGGAGCAGAGTAAGTGTGTCCATGTCATCATTGGAGTGGGTTCATTATAAAAGGGGGAGTTCAGCCCTTTTTCTCTCACCTACATGATGGAAGCCCCACGGGGAAAACAGAAGCTGCTATATTTAGGAAACCTAAAATGTTTTTGTCTGGCTGGATTTTCCAGAGTGAGAAGGGAAGGAGTGATTCAAGAGGTAAACAGGGACCCAATCACAAAGGGTTTTGCAAGAGAGCAGAAGCTTCTGTTTCATTCTGCAGGAATGGGGAGTCACTGTGCAGTGAAGGACCTCTCCAGAGGAGGTGCTGCGGGGATGGGCAAGAGGCAGCGAGAGCAGTTAGGAGGCCTTGCCATTGTGCTGACTGAAGATGGAGTTATTCATACAACGAGGGCAGAAATCTCAACAATCAAGGAGGCCATCATTAGACCAAGGTTGGCCTAGACCTTGACCTGCAGATTTACAGTGCAGTCAGGAAACATCCCTTTTTCTGGGAAACCCTGAGCATGATACTTCCTCTCTTGCCAACCTGCTGTTGCCATCAGCACTTCTGTTGCATAAACAGGTAGGATGTGTGTTGGGGGAGGTGGTGGTGGTGAATTTCCGGAAGATATAGAGCAACCATATAGCTGATGGTGTCTCCTTTCCCTGCCAGCAGTAAACCTATGAGTTTTCATCCTGCCAGAGCAGCAGAGGCCCTGGGCAGAGGCTCCAGCACCACTGTCCCACTTTGGCCCCCACAGCAGTAGGTGTGCTCCAGGGGTGAAAGAGGGGTGGCCCTTAGAGCTGTCCCTGGGAGTAAAATGTCAGGGCTGTGCCTTAGGAGAATGAGGTGGGCACCGGGCCCATCGGCGAATGGAGAAGGCCAGTTGTATCTGGGAGCCGGCGCTTCACTCATTTACCTGCTTAGTCAGTCAGTGCCTATTTATTGAGCTCCTACTGTGTGTCAGGCACTGCTGGAGGTGCTGGCATGCAGCAGTGCAGGAAACGTCATGGGAGGAGAGGTGGGAGGTGGACAGTGTGTGCTAGGACATGGTAAGTACAGGTAAGGAAAGGTGTCAGCCCCTTGGCTGCTGACCCCCCACCTTAGTCCACCATTATCCACTGACTGCTGCTTCCGGACATTAGTGCTTGGAGATGAGTTGCTTAAGGCTTCCCACAATGTTCCCTTTATTCACATTTCATCTGTAAAAGACCATACATCTCACCATGATATAAAAGCTTTCATCCCAGGGACCCCCAAAGCCTGGGATCTGATTTTGGGATCACTTTCGGGATATTCCAAACACAAGAGAGACTGGGCCTTCTGAAATATGGTCCAGTCCCTCTGGACACAAAGGCCCCAGCAGGTGATAGTGGGGGAAAGTCCAATTTAGTAAGGGGACAAGTTGAGGTAGGAGTAAAGGAAAGCTACCCAGGTCCAAAGCATCACATTGCCCTGCCACGTTGCCCAGCACAGCTGCCATCACACATTGGTTGTAGCAGTGACTCCATTCACACACCTATTTTTCAAACACATATTACATGGAAAACACATACAGTGAACTATGGAGAGCTAGAGGTGAATAGGTAAGGAATGGAAGGAGAAGGCAGCCAACCGAGGGCCGGACACTGTCTTCCCCAGTTCTACCACCCTGGGGCCACCCCAAACCAAGCGCATCCCACCCATATGATCCACTCCAGCTTTAGCTCACCGGGTGATCCCAGAGCTTCCAATCCTACAAAACCAGGGCATTTCTCAGAGCTGTGACTCACCATTGCTGGCGATTTTAGAAATGCACTGATGACACGTTTTCTCCAGACCTCCTGGCATTGTTCTTGCTTGCTGACAAAGTTCTGAGGATCAAAAATAATTCATTAGAAAGGATGGTGGAAGGATTTACTCAGCACCAATAACCAACCCGCTCTGTGCATGTCAGTGGTGGCCTGCAGGGTGGTCTCAGTCAGCCCGGGGGGGCTGGGTGCCAGTGTCAGGTGTGGCCTTGTTAGTGGTTAGCGGGGCTGAGGAAAAGACCCCCTATTCCACAGACAAGGGAACCAAGCTCAGGGAGGTTAGGAGGCTTGCCCAGTGATACCAGCCAGGAAGACTGGCTAGAGAAAGGCCTGGAGGGGGAGATGGTAAGAGCTCTCACTTGCTGAGCAATGGCTGCACCAGGCATTGTGTTAACTCTTTAAATAGGCCATCTCATATTGAATCCCACAACAATCCTATCTGGGAAGTGTTATTGACTGTGTTTTACAGATGGCACCTTAGAGACCCTGAGAGCATAAGATTCACCCTAAGACCAGAGCTGGCAACTGGCAGAGCCCAAACTTGATCCAGGCATGGATCCAGGTACAGAGCAAGGGGCCCCTCACTTCCTGATGCAGCTGCTGCACTCTCCCAGGGTCCAAGCGGAAGGGGAACCATGGCCTTGACCAGGGCGGCCTGGGTCGAGACCCGAGCGGCCTGGAGCGCCACCCCGGCTCCCCTGTGGACCTGCTGTGGTCTGGGCAAATTGGTTGACACTGAGAGAAAGGACTTTCCTTCCTTGGAAGAAATAGTCAAACACATTTTAAATCCACAGAAAAACTCCAGCTCATCGACAGCAAAGTTTCCTGTCCGGTAAAATGAGGTAGCCCTGTAAAGACATTAGGAGAGGAAGGGAGTCACTTTGTCCCTGAGGCTGGGGGTGCGTAGTTCTACCACTTCCCACCATTTCGGTGCTTGGGAGTAGGGCCTCCATGGCGGCTGGCTGATCCAGGCAGGATCTGGGGCAGACATCCTTACTTCATAAACAAAGTCTCCCCAGGAACCTGTCCAGAGTAGCCGTGGCTCCATTTAAAAGCACGATTTAACAGGGTCCTTTTTTCTCATATTGCAGGGGTTTGCAAATCAGGGGACCACAGCATTTTAGCAGCACTACCTGCAGGCCCTCCTGGGTGAACTAGAGCTTAGGGCAGGAGGAACAGGCTGTGATGAGGAAGATTTGTAGTCTGAGGACAGAGGTGGTCATGATGACAGAAGGAGAGCTTGCCTTGACCAGAGTTGTGGCTCATAGCAGGCGAGTCATTCCACCGCCAGTGTCAGCATGGGCCTGCAGGCAGGAGCCACGCAGCCCGCAGCTTCTCTCTGTGGCTGATCCACTGCTAGCGCACAGGCAGGGTGGTTCGGCTGAGATTCGGGGTTCTCATTGCCCATCACTGTCCTTCTAGGACATGTCATGCTCAAAATCTGGCTTTGTGTCAGCAGGACCTTTATAGCAGGAGGCAGTGTGACCGGAGATAGTCAGTCCCCAACCAGAGGCGCATCACCAGCGCCCTGCCAAGGTCTTCCACGTTACCTCATTTAGTCTCCCTAGTTCTTCCAGAGGCAAGTATGCCCCATTTTACAGAGAAAACCAAGATTCAAATCAATTTGTTTGCTCAAAGTCACCCAGCTAGTAAGTGGTAGAACTGGGGTTGAAATGAGGCCTCAGAGACTCTATCTGAAACCTGGACTCTGTGCCTTCAAAGCCCACAAACTCTCCACTTTCACCCCAGAGCAAGAATATAAAGGGGAAGAAACCTGGAAAGGAGAGGCTTCCCAAAGTGAGTCAGGGACTAAGCAAGGAGATCATGGTGGTCAGTCCTGTCATGCTTGATCCTATTTAACCAGGCAAAGATGCTTATCCCCATTTTACAGATGAAGAAACTGAGGGTCAGAAAAGTGAAGGACTTGCCCAAGATCACACAGCCAGATTGGAATCCAGGTGTTTTGAGATCTGCCAAACTTGAGGTGCCTACTCTCTGTTAACCAGAATGGACTTTGACAGTCTTGACTGCAGTGAGATGATGGGACACAGACTGGCAGGGTTGAGCACCCAGGGTTTTCTGACCCCCCAAACCCTGGGAATCCCAAATGCAGCGCTTGGGATTCACGCGGTCCCTCTGCTGTTTCTGCCTCCTGACGCAGGCTCCCCCGCCCACTCTTCTCCTGGAAGCAACTGTGGAGAATGCACATGAGTCCTTGTCTCCCTGGCACGCAGTAGGTCTTCAGTATGTTTAACGAATAATTCCATTAACTACTATTCAAACGTCTCTTCACAAGGCTCCATTTTCCCCCACAATATCCTTGCAAAAACTGTGGCTGTGGTGTCCTTACACACAGAAAATCCAGGAACACCGCAGCCCTGAGTAAACCACAGCCTCTTCCGCATCCTTTGACTCTGACATTCTACCGATCAAGGTGAAATGAGACCAGCTCTCCGGCCTAATGGGGTTTGCCAGGTGCACATCCTTTTGTTACACAGCAAGTAGGCCCCAAGCCATGGACAAATGGCTACTGTATGAATTACAGATTTATTGCTGATGTCCACACTTCATCAGGTTGATTGCCACAGGGGTGTCACAGAAGCTAAGCCACTTAAAACCGTGCCTGGAAGAACAACCTTCCTGGACCCAATGATAAGCCCAGTTATCTAAAGGGGCCATGGCCCATCATGGGCTCCTAAAGGCCTGGAAGGTCGGCTCCTTTCCTCACCCTTCTTAGGGAACACAGAGGGTGCACTTCACGTAACAGGGAGAGTGTGCACTTCACGAACCGCAGCATTTTTCTCCTGGATCACAGAAGGGATAAAACAGAGGGAGGAGACATAGGAGCCATCTCTTTATACTTGCATGGTGGAGTTGCCACTGATTTAGAAAATTCCTTTGAAATGTGTTGAACAGTTTCTATCAGTGCCTACAAACCAAGACATTCCAGTCTTCCAATCCACAGCAGCTTTGCAGAAGCTAACGAGATTTGTCTGTGTCACATTAGAACAACACAGTTCTATCTTGGGCCATTCCCTGGGGTAAGAGGCACACACGTTAGCCTCCTGTGAATCATGAAGAACAATGTTTCACCACAAAAAGTAATACAGAGCTGCATATACTTTTTTTTAAATTCAAATATCCTAAATTGGCTGATCCCTTTAGCCACTAACTGCGAATAAGGTAGAAACATCAATCTGAAAAACAGTGATATCTTCATTGATAATAATATCAGACCACATGATGTGGGAGCCAATAGAACACACCAATACAAGGTACAGGTATTAGATCCATTTTATAAATGAGGAGACTCTTACTCCTTCAAGCTTGTTATTTTCATAAACTGGCAAGACGGATGAGAACTAAAAAAAGAATGATGTGCTGTTAATTCTGTCACACCTTAAAGAATGTTCCCTAAGAGACAGGTAGCAGTGGCAGTAGAACTCAGCTTTGGCAACCAGCCAGAAAGTGAAGACAGAATTCCCAGGTACAGTCCCAAATGCTGGCCGACAAACTTTGCATACTGTGTTCAACTTCCCTTACAAGGAATACAGTGTTACACACACACACACACACACACACACACACAATCATATGACCTCATGCATGTAATAATGTCTGAAGATCTATGTAAACACACAGAAAAAGGTCAGAAGCATAAACAGTAAACCACTGTGAATAACTGTTCCCTATGAAGGCAGGTACAGGGATATGGGGCCACTGGGGCTGGGGTAGGGGTAGGTAGGAATGTGCCGCAGGCAGGCGTGGGAAGTATTTCCATTTCCACTTTATACTCAAATATTGCCTTGCCTTTTCCCCCATTAGCAAGTTTTACCATTATAATTTTAGACTTCTTTTTAAAACTTCTTAAAATTCAAGAAGTATTATTTGAAATGAAAAGTAGTTTGCTCTCCAGAAGTCCAGAGATTTATAAAAAGTAGCATGTAGGGGACAGATGAGCAGGAAGGAGTAAGTCCACCAGGGAGCAGAAACAAAAAGGACAGAGATGATGTGATGGTGGTAGGCAATAGTTTTCTCTTTTGGAATGTTTTCTTTAAAAATTACAAAAGCGAATTCACAGAAAAATTAGATCACGGAGAAAAGAAAATCATTAGTCATTATAAACAACGGCAGAACTTCTAGCCCAACAACGGCTAGTATTTTGGAGCTTTTCTTTTAAGTATATGCATATATACATATGCATATGTGCATGTACACAAATTTTACATGGTTGCAATAATCAGGCACATTAAGTGAACACATCACATTTTGACATAAGCATTCTTTCTGTCACCATTTGGTCTTCAGAACTCTCATTTTCGCAGCTGAATTATAATCCACAGAGTAGGTTATATCCAACTATATTTCTCTACATCTTGTTGGATATTTACTTTCCACTCATAACTAATCCTAAGACACATGTCTCTCCATGACAAGTGCTTTGTTTTATGCACATATAGATCTCTTGGAATAGTTATTTAATTAAAAAGCATAAGCAACTTTTTGGCTTTGAGGTAAAATTGACTTCTAAATGAGTTGTATCCATTTCCAGTGCCACCAGCAATGTGAGAGTGGCAGTTTCACCACACCTAACCAGCACTGGGTGGCTGAAAGACGAATGCATTTTTATTCCTCTCATAGGCAAAAGTGGAAATTAATTATTTTAATTTACATATTTGATTGCCAGTGATATTGCCAATTCTTTCTAGACTAATTTCCCAGTTGTATGTTCCCCTTTGTGATTTGGTTTTTATGACCCATGATACGGATTTATTTCAATTCAGAGGAAGCCCACAAAGAAAGCTGCAATTTGAGAAAATAGCAGTGAATCTGCTTTTTGATTCACAGAATTCACTGTGTGAATTTGCAGATTCAGATATGCTACAAAAGACCTATTCACTACTATGGTGGGGACTTGAACAACTCACAAAAAATTGCATGTTCCTTGGAGCCCTTTGAAGTGGTAGCTCTTCCAGGAGAGGGTCCCTCCACAGCAGGAGATGCCCAATAGAGCAAATACGTACTAACGATGGATTCACATCAATGCAATTCATTTAATGATTGACTAAAATCTGTAATGACACAGATTTTAGTCAATTTCTATACCTTCTACTAAGAAAATGTACATTTTTTTCTTATTTGATAGAAAGTTTTCTTATTTGTTAGAAATCTGAAACAGGAAGAGATTGGGGTAACAGGCTGGGCAGTACCTTCTCTCCAGTGTAAACAAGCAGTGACTTAAAAGTCCATTCTTGTGCATGCTGTGATAGGACTGTGTGTCTCACACCTGCCTCTGCACCTAGAAGGGCAGTGATAATAGCCCCTGCTGCTTCCTATCCTAGCAGCTGAGTGATAATAAAGGGCACGATGGGAATTAATCAATAATATTTGCCAAATGACATGCTCAATGCATTTTCAATTTTCAATCCAACTGATATATCTCAGTGGTTCTCAACCAGAGGTGATCTGACCCCCAAGGCACATTTGGCAATATGTGGAGACATTTTTAATAGTCATGGCTGGGGCAGGGCTGTCGATAAAGAGACCAGACATGCTGAAAAACATCCTGCAAGGAGCAGGGCCGTCCCCAACAACACAGTTATCTGCTCCAAAATGCCAATAGGACTAGATCTGAGAAACTTTCTATGTCTGTCTAATGTTCCCAGTTTTACAGTTCAAATTTGTAAAATTCTACCTTTTTTTAACCTCTGAGTTGTGTCATGAACCAACAGTAAACATATATATGTGTGCGTGTACACACACACACACACACACATATATATGATTGTGTTTTTACTGATTGGCTTGGTAAATTAAACTATTTATTCCTAAATCAACTGTGAGGACCGACTCATTCTTGGTTTTGAATAACACTGAATATTAGATATTAACCATTCCCATACCTGTTCCTTCAAAGCAGATGTTAACTAGTATTGTTGAATATTTCCAACAAACATTTTGGGTGCTCAGGACACAGTCCTTTCTTATTTGTAGCTCTCTATGTAACCTGTGCTGTTTTCTCTCCTAACTATGCCCGAATGCATGAATTCAGTGGAGGTTATTGCATACCTACTGTGTATCAGAGTCATTCCACAACCTCCCTAGGATGCCTTCATTGTCTGGCTCCTAGGAAATGAAAAATGCACTTCCTTTGAGCTCTACCACTCCTTTAAAATGACCAAGTCAAAGCCACTTGCTCAGAGCCCCAACAGGTAAGACACGGAGGTGACGTCTGTGGTCCCCACTCGCTGTCCTGCAGCCAGCAGGTTCTAAGAGCCCCCACACAACGTGCCTTCGCCCTGCAGTCATTATTCCTTTACAATTGTTCTCTTCTCCAGAAAACCCACTTGCCTTAGACTCAGTGAAGATTGTTTTCTTTCCCGCCACACATTTAAGAAAAGCACTTCCAAAATGCAGTCATTTTCTTTCCAGGAAGCATAAATCAGCACATTGGCATCTTCCTGAGAATGATTTCAAGAAACCCTCTGCTAGGACTCTCTCCCCAACTTCACAGGCTGTCCAGGGCTGCCGGACTCACCTGAGCTGAGCAGGGTGGGATCCAGAATCGGGCAGCACTCAACACCTCTGTGGTCCCGGTGTCCAGGCCTGACTCTGTGGGGTTCCTCTTCACTTGGGGCTCCCACTCCCTGTCGCACGCTTTCTTTCTCCCTTTCTCTCCTGCAGCACAACAGCAACTCGTGGCTTTTCCTCTAAGGGGCGGGTTCTCTCCATTTCCCACTCCCACGTGTGGGGAGAGCAGCCCCACCGCCGGTTCATACCCCTGCAGTGTTCCCTAGGCCCGCAGGGGGGCAGCAGAGCGACCCCGGGAGCTGTGAAAGATGGCCGACCCCTTGGAGTTAGGAATTCCCACAGGAAACATTTCATTTCAGTCCCTTAGGCACTAAACATAGGGACTTAGTTCTGGTGCGAGCCCCTTCTCACCCCTTGCTCTTCCTGCATGTTGGTGGCACACAAGGACGAGAGGACCAAACAGCGGCTGCTTAGGAAATAGGGTGAAGGTACTCAAAGTGGACTGAGGATGTGAGAGGTGCCGTATGGACTCGAGGACTGCCACCTAGAAAAGGGATTAAATTGATTCCCAGTATTTGCCAGCGACAGATCTGAGGCAGAATGAAGTTACAGGGAGGCCGAATTGTGCCCCATGTCATAAACTTTGTAACAGTGGCCTTCTTACACCTGAAGCAGGCTGCTTTGTGAGGCTGTTGTGTGTTGGTGTTGTAAGCAATCACCTAGCAGAAGTTCTCAACTGCTGATGTGTAAGAGTGCCAGGGATTCTTTATTGAAATGCAGATTCCTGTCCAACTCCCAAAGATTCTGAATCTGTAGATCTGGGCCTGGGCCCAGGAATCTGCAGTTTAGACTCTGCTAAGTTTCCTGTAGGTGCTCCATGGACCACACTTTGAGAAACTGGCGTCACATGACATTAAAGGCATTCTCCAACCCTGACATTCCAGGTTTTTTGTTGTCATTTTGGTGGAAAAGGCCAGTCTACTGGGGAGGGACTGGGGTGAGGCAAGAGAAAAGCCTATTATGCAAAATGTAAGGAGCTGCTCCCTCTGAAGCTACCCCTGCATTGCACACCCCCTGGGAGGGCACCTCTCTGGGCTCTCTCTAGGGCTGGCCCTGCCACTCTCCCAGTCCTGAATTCAAGCTGACCACTTCACACTACAGGACAGGGTGAGGCAGAGGAGCAAGGGGAGGAGACCTGCTGAAGGAAAGGACACACAGTCACAGTCACCAGCCACATAACAGCGTTTCAGTCAATGATGGACCACACAGATGGTAGTTCCTTACGATTATAATGGAACTAAAAAATTCCTATCACCTAGTGATGTCGTAGCAGTCTTAATGTTGTAGTGCAACACATTACTCATGTGTTTGTGGTGATGTTGGTGTAAACAAACCTACTGCACTGCTAGTCACATAAAAGTATAGCACACACAATTATGGACAGCACATTATACTTTACAGTAATAAAAAACAACCAAGTCACTGCTTTATGTATTAACTACACTATACTTTTTATCATTATTTTAGAGTGTACTCCTTCTACTTACTTAAAAAAAAAAAAAAAAAGGTTCACTGTAAAAACACCTCAGGCAGGTCTTTCAGGAGGTATCCAGAAGAAGGAATTGTTATCATAGGAGATGACAGCTGCTGCCTGTTACTGCCCCTGAAGACCTTCCAGTGGGACAAGATGTGGAGGTGGAAGATAGTGATACTGTTGGTCCTGACCCTGCGTAAGCCTAGGTTAATGTAATGTATGTATGATGTATGGGCTAATGTATGAGTCAAAATTTTTAAAAAAATTATAAAGTAAAAAAGGTACAGTAAGCTAAGGTTACTTTATGATTAAAGAAAAATATTTTTAATAAATGTAGTGTAGCCTAAGTGTACAGTGTTTATGAAGTCTATAGTAGTGTGTAGTAATGTCTTAGGCTTTCACATTCACTAATCACTCACTCACTGCACCCAGAGCAACTTCCAGTCCTGCAAGCTCCATTCATGGTAAATGCCCTATACAGGTGCACCATTTTTTAATCCTTCATATTTTTACTGTACACAACGTTTAGATACACAAATACTATGTGTAGTATTTTCTATGTTTAAATACATAAATACTGTAGTGTTACAACTGCCTACATTATTCAATACAATAACATGCCATGGTCTCTGGCCTTTTAGGAACAGTACTAGTCCCTAGCCTTTTAGGAACTGGGCCCCACAGCAGCAGATGAGTGGCAGGTGAATAATCATTACCACCTGAGCTCCACTTCCTGTCAGATCAGCAGTGGCATTTGATTCTCACAGGGCCACAAATCCTATTGTGAACTGTGCATGCCAGAAATCTAGGTTGCACACTCCTTATGAGAATCTAATGCCTGATGATCTGAGGTTGAATGGTTTCATGCCAAAACCTTCCCCATCCCCACCCTCAAGAAACCGGTCTCTGGTGCCAAAAAGACTGGGGACCACTGGGTGTGTAGTAGGCTATACTATGTGAGTTTGTGTGAGTACATTCTATGACGTTCACACAATGGCAAAATTGCCTAATGTCACATTTCTCAGAACATATCCCCATTGTTCAGTGATGCATGACGGTACTTGAATCTTCTCTTATCTCACATTGAGCGAGTGGAAGCAGAGTGACTGTGAGCAGCGAGGTCAGAGCCTTAAGGCTTCCCTGCTACAATGGTGGGGGTCTGGGAGCACAGAGTGACCATGAGCCTGGCGTGGACGTGGCCAAAGGGACAGTAGTCCTTTCTGAGCACATTTTAGCCCAGACATCAAAACAAACAAAATTTCGGGTGATGAGGCAGTCTTCCTGGGAGTTCAGGAAGGGAGAAAATAATGGCAGGTCACTCAGGAGCTTTCCCACATGTCCCTGAAGATGCAGCAAAACATCAAAGAACATTTTTCCGCCAAACCAGACAACTGTATTTGTGAGTATAGAAATAGGAGATTTTTGTCGGGGAGAAAGTAGCAGTCGTCTTTGGAAAGTGATTATGAGACTCCAAAGCTAATGATAAATGATAGTAATAATAATAGCTGTATCAGTTAGGAAAACAGGGGGAATTTGATATGGGGATACAAGAGCCACAGAAGAGCTGAAAAATCATGCACAATGTTATGGTGGAGTAACCCAGAGATTAGCAACTGAGAGTGGAAGCAGATGCTAACCCTAGAGATGTGAGTGGAAGACCACCACTGGAAATGCTGCCCAAAGCAAAGTAGGTGCGATTAATACCCCCACTTCACAGATGAGAAGCATGAGGTACAGAGAGATTAAAGGCACATGGCTAAGTGTGTAATGAACTTAAACTCAGACCATGTGATAAGAGTCCACATATAGCACCACTACACTACTGCCATATGAATAAAGGGCACATGGGGGGAGATGACAGTAGAATTGAGTGAAAGCTGAATTCAGAGTATAATTTTTTTTTTTTTTTGAGACGGAGTCTTGCTGTGTCGCCCAGGCTGGAGTGCAGTGGCGCCATCTCAGCTCACTGCAAGCTCCACCTCCCAGGTTCACGTCATTCTCCTGCCTCAGCCTCCCGAGTAGCTGGGACTACAGGCGCCCGCCACCAAGCCCGGCTCATTTTTTGTATTTTTTAGTAGAGACAGGGCTTCACCGTGTTAGCCAGGATGGTCTCTACCTCCTGACCTCGTGATCCGACCATCTCGGCTTCCCAAAGTGCTGGGATTACAGGGGTGAGCCACCGCGCCCGACCCAGAGTATAAATTTTTAAATGCTTGTTTTTAGTTGAGGTGGTTCTCCTGGTAAAAGCGAGTTCATTCATTCATTGAATGAATACTGCTGATTCCAAGCCAGATACTGTAAGTAAAAAGATTACTTAATAAAATTCAATGTATCCCATAAGGAATTTTGATGCAAAAGAGTAGTGAGTGAATGAGCATGTGCCTGAGTTTAATTACAAAGGCAACTGTGAGTTAATGAAGGTAGGCCTGACTTCTTGATGGAAGCTGTAGAAATGAAGGGAGATACCAAAGTTGCCCAAAGACCAGGCTGTGCACCCCATAAGGAGCAATCAGAAAGCCGAGGGACACTGATGAGTGTTCACACTCACTTTTTCCCAAGATTGCACAAAAGGTTGTCTTTGTCTTCATCTTTGCTTGTGTGTTATTCCTCAACAAATTCATTCTATGTAAACATCCTAATTCTTTTCATGCTTTCTTTGGAAGTTTTCCATTCTGACGTCACTCTTCTCTTTGAGTCACCTTTTCTATATTTACCATCTATTCATCCTGACGGCTTCCTAATTTGGGAGAAAACCTTCAGGGTTCCTCACTTTGACTTCTACCTGAGTCAAAAAGCATTTCAATAGAAGTTTTCATTTTCTTTTTGACTTTTCCCAGCATTTTAATTTTCCGGAGGACAATTTAAGAAAAAGAGAAACAGAATGTGTGGTCCCAAAAGTAGTTCACAGTCCAGAAGAAGAAGAATTAAACGACAGGCAACGCCTGACCCATGCTGCAATCTTGAGGCCATTATGCTAAGAAATAAGCCAGCCACAGAAAGACGAATGCTGTATGACTCCACTCACGTGAAGCATGTCGAATAGTCTACGCTCATAGAAATGGAAGTAGACTGGTGGTCACCAGGGGCTGGAGGAAGGGGAGCAGGAAGAGCTGCTGTTTACGGGGTGTGGCATTTCAGTTTTGCAAGAAGAAAAAGAGATTGGTTGCACAACAATATGAGTATTCTTAACACTACTGAGCTGTACATTTTTCAGTGGTTAAGATGTTGAGTTTTATGTTATGTGTATGTTAGCACAATTTAATAAGCAAACAAACTCCTGGATCTGAGAGGCTGGGGGAGTCAAGCCCTAACATTCTAAGGGCGCTGTGGAACCGGATAGTTGTCCAAGGTGCTCCGGAAAATCCCGGGGTCTCTTCAGCCCCAATTTCAGCGGTCACAGAGGCACTGTGGGAGGATGCGCGGACACGCCACTGTGAGGTTTCCCGCCTCAACCCTTTTACTCAGGTCTAAAGTGGCGCCTTGGAGTAGGCGTGAGGAAAGGAATAACTCCGGTCTTTGTGTCCCTAACCTAAGCTCCAAGCCCGAGGGTCTAAGTTCCCAGGGGCGAGTGTCGGGGTTGGGAAAATTCACAGCGCCACCTACTGGCGCCTCTTTGCCCTCCTTCCCTGCCGCCTCCTGCTGTCTGTGGCCTCTCGGTGGGACCTGGGCCGTCTCTTTCAGAAACAGGATGGACGCGGTGGCTCAGGCCTGTGATGGAGCACTTTGGAAGGCCGAGGCAGGAGGATCGCTTGAGCCCAGGAGTTTGAGACCAGCTCAGGCAACGTATTGAGACTAAAGAACAAAATAAAAAATTAGCTGGGCATGGGGGTGAGTGCCTGTAGTCCCAGCTACTTGAAATGTTCCCCTGGAGAAAGAAAAACTCTTCTGTAATTTTGTTTGAGATTGCATTAAGTTTATACATAAATTTGGGGAGAACTGGCATTCTACTATTATCAACTACAATTGTAAGTTGTTTCTCTCTCCTCTTCTTTATTAGGTATTCAGTCAAA